CACACGATCCCTCAGAAATCATTCTAATATGCTAATTTGGTGCTCGACTTTAACATTTCTTATTATTATCAATGCTGAAAACAGTTGTGCTGCTTAATACTTTTGTAGAAACCATGATCCATTTTTCAAAAAAGTTCAAAAGAACAGCATTTATTTGAAATAAATTTTTTTTTTTTTTTTTGCATTACAAATGTCTCTACTGTCACATTTGATCAATTTAATGTGTCCTTCCTGAATAAAAGTCTTACTGACTCCAAACATTTGGACAGTAGTGTAAATGCACTGTTTTGCTGGTATCCTTACTGGCATGACTTACTTTTCTAAACCAGCTTCCGATCATTTGATCATTTTGGATAACCAGTGTTTTTGCTGGTAAACAGCATGGCATAAACCAGCCTTTAAATTCACACTGATCTGTCTTTTCAACTGCAAGAAGCCACCCCTTTTGATATTTAGGACCATTTTTATGTCGCTTATGTGAATATGAAATCACTTGTGAGTTTGTGGGTTACGTGACCTTGTAAACTAAACAGATTAAGGCCTTATAAAACTTCTTAATCACTCACTCTCCTCTGCCTGCTTTGCAGATCCTGATTTCAAAGACCTTGGAGTTCAACAACCTCTTCCTAGTGAGTGAAGTGTTTTTTTTAATTTAATTGATCTCCTCTGCATAATAAAACCACTTCACAATGATACATGACTGTGCTTTCATGTTGTAGTTTGTGAATTTGAGATGAGCGGGCCAGAGGGGATTGTGGAGTCCGTAATGGTTACCAAAGAGGGCAAAGCATTGCAGACAGAGGCTGTAGACTGCAGGTGGTTCATAAGAGCTCCTCCTGGCTCGAAGGTAAAACTCCAACTTTATTTAATGAAATTAAAGCCCAGCATGGTGGCCTAGGGCTGATCTTGTTACTCTCCACTATGTAAGCACCTAAAACATAAACATAAATTAAAATATAAAATGGTCTCCTAAGAACACTGATATAAATGTGCCTCTTCTTGTATAGATCTATTTGCGTTTCCTGGATTATGAGATGCAGAACTCAAACGAGTGCAAGCGTAACTTTGTGGCAGTGTATGATGGGAGCAGCTCAGTGGAACACCTGAAGAATAAATTCTGCAGCACAGTGGCCAATGACGTGATGCTGCTGACTTCATTAGGTGTGATTCGCATGTGGGCCGATGAGACCAGCCGCAGGAGCCGATTCCGTATCCTCTTTACCACCTTCCATGAGCGTGAGTCATTCGATCTTGTTTTTTAAAATCTTAACACATTTCAGTAGCACATACAGATTTCTTTCTAGCCTTAAAGTCGTGATTAACCTCTTATTTTAACTCCATATTTGGACTAACACATTATTAGTGCTGTACTGAGTCACTTCAGCAGTTTTAGTGTCTCTTGTGGTTTCTTCTATAATTATTATAATTTTGCTCTGCTCTTCAGCTCCATGTGAAGGAGACGCTTTCTTCTGTCATAACAACATGTGCATTAACCACACATTGGTGTGCAATGGTATTCAAAACTGCGTCTATCCTTGGGATGAGAATGGTTGCAAAGGTATATAATCACGTATTCAAAAGTAATACATTGATAATTCACTTAAAGGGATATTCTACCCAAAAAATTAAAATGATGTCATCATTTGCGTACCCTCATGCCATTCCAAACCTGTATGACTTTCACGACTTTTGTGGAACACAAAAGAAAATATTTTGAGGAAGGAACAAAATAAAATATTTTGTTCATACAAGGAAAGTCAATTGGGGTCCATTGGATGGACAAAAGACACATATTTTCAAAATATCTTTTGTGTGTGTGTGTGTGCGCGCATTTTTGTGACGTATGATGACACAAATTTGTATAATGACATGGGTATGACATAGGTATTACAAGGAGAAGGTGACTTATGAGGACATTACCCCATGTCCCCATGTCCCCATTTTTCAGAACGCTTATAAATCATACAGAATGAGTTTTTTTGAGAAAGTAAAATGCAGAAAGTTTCCTGTGAGGGGTAGGTTTAGGGGTAGGGTTGGTGTAGGGCAATAGCACAAACAGTTTGTACAGTATAAAAACCATTACGCCTATGGAATGTCCCCACAATTCACAAAAACAAACATGTGTGTGTGTGTTGTTTTGATCTGTATTTGGATACCTGCTATCTTTCCAAATTGCTGAAATATCAGCCATTGGTTGAAGCCATCCATCAACTTGACTATCATTGTAAGTTAATTACCCTAGTATTTGGAAGCTTAGGTCATGTGCACAAGAATGTGATTAAAGGTCTGCAGTTGAGTGGATTGCAAAAAAAGAAAGCAAAAAAACTCGCAAAATTTTGTTCAGTTTCAGCCACTATAGGGAGTATGCAAATATGGAAACGAAGATGTTTTGTCTATCCCTGAGTGTTGAATGTTATATATATAAGGACTTGTGAATGTATGTTAGCCATATGTACCTGTCATCTTGCAAACTGACTTCCCAAGGTATTTGGATTCCGTTTTTGTTGCTTGTCTTGTGGATCCAAATAAAATAATAAAATGTGTGTGTGTGTGTGTGTGTGTGCGTGTTCCACAGAAGAAAGAAGTCATACAGGTAAATGATGAGAGCATTTTCATTTTTGAGTAAACAACACTTCATATTTTTGGGAAAGCAATACTTTTTTGAGAAATCAATAATTTTATTCAGCAAGGACACATTCAACTCATTGATTAAAAGTAACAGTAAAGATATGTATAATGATACAAAAGAAAGTTCCTACAAAAATATTAGAATACTATAATAGAATGATTTCTGAAGGATCAGGTGAAAATTCAGCTTTCACGGCATCAAATTAAATTACATTTTAAAATGTTTTCAAATAGAAAACAGTTATTTTAAGTAATAATATTTCACAACATTTACTGTATTTTTTGATTAAATAAGTGCAGCCTTTGTAAGCACAAGAGCCTCTTTCAAAACCATTAAAAAAACTTACCAACCCAAAACATTTTTACTGTAGTGAATATCCTTTTTTTTTTCTTTTCTGAATTTAAAACAATGTGCCTCATACAATATTTATGCTCCTTTCATACAGAGAAAAGAAAAGCCAATATCCTCGACGGTCTCGACAACACTAATGTGACCATTATTGGCGTGACCTGCGGATTGGTGATTATCCTGCTCACCATGTCGATAATCATTCAAATAAAACAGCCACGGAAGAAGTACATAATCCGCAGAGATGAATTTGATCCCACCTTGCTGCACGAGGCCTTTGAACCCCCACACTATGAGCTGTGCACGTTACGGCAAGCAACCTCATCCGATGGTGAGGTTTTACCTGAAGACTTCCCCAAACTGCAGCGCACCTCCTCCAAATGCATCCACGGCCACCACTGTGGCTCCCAGGTGTCCAGCACTCGAGGCAGCCGCAGCGATCTCAGCCTGCGAGATGCTGCAGCTATTCTCTCAGAGATGGAGCCATCTGTACAACCCCCCTTCCCTATGCAAGCCACCCCTACTAGCCGCAGGAATATTCTAGTGATGAAGCACAGCTACTCGCACGATGGGGCTGAAGAGTGCGACCTGGATGATGAACTTTATGATGGGCCCACCACCAGCCGTGGGCGAGCTGCAATGGACAGAACTGTGCATCGGTCAGTATCCAATGACTTTTGATGGTTTTCCATGCACGTCAACCCAGCTTTTGGATAGACTGTTTCTTTATTGTCCTATTTGTCTTCCTTTTTATTTGTAGTAGTCATGCACTTGTTTATTAAGTTTGTTGACAGACAAGATTTCCTTGTCTAGTCACTCCATTTTCACCATTTTGTATCCATAAAGGATTATGGATCAAAAAACATGGGTGCATTAAATGGATATGTGAACCATAAAACTGTATTGCTGTTAGTTTTCTTTTCCTGTTTTGTATATGACTAGTCCTAGGCTGTCTAGTCCATATAATTTGATGACTGTTATGCACTTTTGTTTTAATCCTAATATTGAGATGCTGTATGATATTAGGACACTCAATCATTGCATATGTTTAATGTAAATATTTTGATTTGTGCTGTTTGGTGTGAGTATTATTTAAAACATTTCATAGCATTACTGCTATGGCTATTTTTATCTTTGTGTCTTGTGATGTGGGACAGACTTCGCTCTTACCTTGAGCTGTGAGGTTTCATTTTATTGTGTTTTAATTGTGACTTAATTTATTTGTATTTTCATTGCTTTTATGCCTATGTGAGAACATTTGTGCTTCTTTTATACTTTGTTACCCTTCATGCTCCACTTTTCATTCTCATATCACATTACTGATAAAATTACAAACAAGTACGATTGTTATACTGTGTCTCATCTTATTGCATTTTTATTATAAAATGTGATGTAGAACAAAAATGGTCTTTAAAAAGTGCCTTTCCATTGGATGCATCCTCTTTCCTTGCTTATTGGTAACATTTTAAAGTGGTTGTAGGCATGCGAACACTTCTAATATTGCCAGCCTCGTCATAATAATATTTAAATACTATAAAAGTACTGTTTTCATTACAATTGTCATTTTAAGTTGAAACACAGCAGCAGCCAGCCAGAGATGCGTAAAGAGCGCACACATTGGGGTTTGTGAGTATATCCGCATAATAGTGCCTCCCTCTGGTATATCAAAGTAATTGCAGGAGATAAACTTTCATCACTATTTAAAAACAACAGTATAAAAGTACTGTTAATGAACGGGCTATAAATCTTGAACCCACAATTCGTTAGGTTTCTTCAAGTCATTTTTATTATCTCATGAATTAATCATATTTGTGTGTCCGTCTGTAGTAAGTGACAGTCAGAGAGCGGAACTGATGTTGCTTCAATCTGTCGTCAGACAAATAAGGAGATGCACCGGTTCTCATGTCTTTCGTTTCGTGAAAAGTTCTGTGGTTGTTTATAATATATATATAGCATATATAGGCAGTATAATTGTCTGTATATTGATATGATTATGCCGTTAATTTATTTAAATGTTTTGCTCATTACGTGCACATTTAACCGATTTTAATTGCAAATTTGTAAAAAGCTGCGTGCTGTCACTGGGCTGTCAGACAGTGAGGAGATGGTCAGCTGATGAGTCCCGATGCTTTCATTTCAGGATGCCTGACTTTGGCACAGAATCAAATCCCTCCACAGAGACTTATAAGCAGGGATCAGCTGGTGAAAGTGCTTTTAAAAAACGACTCGGTATTATTGCAACTTGTGTCGTCGGAGGGTCATTGGTCGCTCTGTATGCAGTGACTGGACCGTTTGTTGCACCAGCACTGAGGAAAGTATGTCTCCCATTTGTACCTGCAACAAGGACACAGATTGAAAACGTTCTTAAGGTTTTGAAAACTAGATCAGGGTCTCTGGTGGATAGCGGCAGCGGAGATGGACGAATAGTGAGTTTCTTTTGATTTTTATATCCATTTGTTTTAGTAAAGAAATTAACAATTTATGTATGTATGTATTTGCGTTTTTAATATATGACAAAGAAAAGGATTTCATACATTTTCTCAGAGATGCGAAGTCATTATATCTTCATAAGAATATTTGATGTTCCTTTTTAAAGCCTCCCCTGTTGATTTGATTAATAAAATATAATAAAATTTAATAAAATACAGTGGTATATATCAGTATTACAATACAACTGTATAATGTTATTGATGTTAGTTGATCACAGTTTGTTAATCTGTTAACAGTCCTAAAAATCTTGTTCCTCTGTGTGTCTGGTTTGGTCTAGGTTATCGCTGCAGCAAAAAGTGGCTTCAAGGCAGTAGGATTTGAGCTGAACCCATGGCTGGTCTGGTACTCCCGTTACAAAGCCTGGAGGGAAGGTGTTCATCACAACACATCTTTTTATATTTCTGACCTTTGGAAGGTGAGAACAGACAGTTCAATCATAATCTAAATGTGGATCTTCCATTATATTTGTAACTAAGACTTAAGTTGTAATAACTAAGTATTTACAGATCGACACAATCTGCATGTAATCATGGCACATGTGTTATTAGTCTCTTAAACTGTCTTCTTTCATAGGTCAATTTTTCAGAGTACTCCAACATGGTCATCTTTGGGGTTCCTCAAATGGTATGATCATATGACTAATTACATATAATTATATA